CCGTGTCCCCGCCATTATGGCAGCGCTCTGCCGCACCGCCACCTCCTGCACCAACACTGTATTCACACTCTGATTAGTTGTTTCAGTCAGCCAATCAGAGGGCAAATAAAGAGTTATGGACAGACAGACAAAGGATTTTATAAATATGAGAATAAGTGTTCTTCACTGTTAAATTTTGTTGGAACATAAAATACAGGATCTATCAACTCTGAGCTATCAAAAGTGGACTCTTAGTCACTTTGCACACCAAATGGCAGTTATCTAGCTGTATACCTGCCATTTTTTGACACTCATGCAATTTGTAATCTGTCCCTACACTTTCACTATTTCTAGTTTTTCTTAAAAATTCAGCAATAAAATGATAATAAAAAATCTCTCAACAAGGGTGACTTGACAGCAGATTTCCCTGATCAAACTCCCTCCCAGGGAAATGCCACCTTTGAACCTGCCTGAGCAAAGATTTAGAATTGCAACAACCATGCACAAATTACAAATAGAGATAAATATTTGATTATTTGAAGCAACACTTTTTTTTTAGCTAGTATTTTCATACCTGTCCATCACTGTCCTTGATAACCATCAGGACAGGAGTGTCCAGCCCCAGCATAGTTCGATACAAGGTCTTCAAGCTCATGCCATGCTTTGCAGTACTGTAGACAAGTGTCCATGGATATCCAATGGTTCTTGGGGGAAGAGTCTTTGTAAGCTATTAACAAAGCAACAAAAAAAATCTGCTTATTTAAGTAATATCATTTAAATATATGCTACATGAGAATGAAGCCTGAATATGTTTTACTGAACCTATTAAGAAACCCCTTGGAATAGTCTTCCAGGTAATATAAGCTAGGCCACCTCTATCTTTCAGTAAGTTTTAAAAGCTACCTTTTTTCCCCAGAAATTACCACCCACAAATGATGTAGAACAATGGTCCCAACCTTTTTGTCCTGTGAGACCCAGATCTGGCTGATGGTCCCGATCCGGTTCCCCATCTAGCCACACAGGGGAAGAGGGTGTGTTCTGGCCCCAACTCAGTCCTGTGGGAGAGGGGAGGGGGTGTGGACCAGCTCCAACCCTGACCTGAAGGAGGTAAAAGGGTGCAGCCTGGCACTGTGGGGGGTGAGGGTGGGAAGCACAGCCCTGGCCTGGCCCCACTGGATCATGGCCCGGCCCTGCAGGGGGAGGAGGCATGGCCCAGCCCTCTGGGATGGCAGGGCAGGGGTGTGACCCAGCCCAAACCCAGTCCCACAGGAGAGAATTTGGAAATGGGGGAGGATTGCAGTATTACCAATACACTAAACCTTTTAAACTACCTTTTTGGTTTATCTATCAGTCTATGCACTGCAGTTGTTCTATAAAATGGAATTTTAAAGAAAATATCTTCTACAAGTTTTTCTTCATTCCTGTTCTTCCTCACTTGCACGTCTTGAATACTTGTTCAATACAGCTGACATTTTCACATCTATTCCCCAATACCAGAACCTTGGTAATCCAGTAGTGCAATCTAGTAGTGATGAATCATCCTTTAAATTCCACCTACACTGTGCATGCCCCTGCTCTATTTTTCAAGGGTTTAACACAATTAGCATCACCTGCAGAAATGGTCAATATATATCCACTGTTGCTGCTTGGTCTTGTCTGAGTGATAAGCAGGGATCCAGGTTCTTTTTCCCACAGAAAGCCAGAGAAAAACCACAGATTTCCCATTTTTAAATCAGAAAAACTGGCGGCTTTCCCCCTTTTGCAAGGAGCTATGCAGGCTGGCTGAGTTACAGCCTGCAAGAGCTGTTTGCAAGAGGGACAGGGAAACCCCCAACCCTGCCCAGAGGGGAAGGGAAAGGGGGAAGGGAAGGCCCTGACGCTTGCACTTACTCGAGGCTGCTTCAGGCTCACTCTTCTTGCTGGAGGTAAGTGTGGCTTGGGGCTGAGGGAGTGAAGAGGTTTGCAGCCAGCCAGGCTTGGGTTTGCAGCCTTCTCACTCCCAGCCGAAGTGCCTGGCTGGCTGTAACCCCCGCTGCTCCTGGCGAGAGTGCCCAAGCTGGCTGGGGGCTGAGAGAGCAGGGAAGGGTGCAAACCACCCCTCCACCCCGAGCCAGCTTGGGCACTCTGGCCAGGAGTGTGTGTGTGTGGGTGTGTGTGGGGGGGGCGGGGTTGGTTGCAGCTGGCCAGGCACTCCAGTTGGGAGCCTCCTCACTCCCTCAGCCCCCAGCCAGTTTGGGCACTCTGGCCATTGGGGGTTGTTTGCAGCCAGTCAGGAGCAGAGAGGGTGCAAACCCCCCACCCCTGGCTAGAGTTCTCAGCAGGCTGTAAACCCTGGGTCACAAATGCTGCACTTCCCACAGCCCTCTGGAGTGCAGCATATGCATCTGGTCCGGCAGGGCACAATGGGGTGGGCGCAGGAAAGCTGTGTGCCACTGCAAGCTCCGCACTGCCCTGGTCATGCTTCCTCTGTGTGCACAGGGGCAGTGCAGGGTTGCACCCCTCACTCCTGCCCCTGCCTGCAGGGAAAGCATGGCCAGAGCAGTGCGGAGCTTGCAGCAGCATGCAGCTTTCGTGCATGCCCCCCCTGTGTGCTGCTGTGCCAGGTTGCACCTGCTACGCTCTGGAGGTCCTGGGGGAGGGCAGCAGGGTGGGATGCACGAGCTTGCCATGTGCATCTGCCATTCCCCTGCCCCCCACAGATCTGGGGGGCACAGGTCTCCCCTGCCCCCAGGAGTGCACGCTGCCGCCAGGAGCCAGGCCCGCAGCAGACAGGCAGTAGGAGGGTAGCCAGTTCATGCTCCTGCTGCAGCAGCCGTTGCCTTCCATTGGGGGCAGGGGGCTGTGGATCTGGGTCCCTGGCTCCATGGCCCTGGCAGCTGGGGGGGAGGGGCATTTAATTTTAACCACAGATTTTGGGATTTAAGAAAACCCCCAAACAAACAGAATTTGCAATTCTTTATCAGAGAATTTATGTTTGGTTTTTTTCTATATCATGGAAAACCAGGATCCCTGGTGATAAATCCCAGATTAATGGAGCCAAGTGACCCTTAAAAAACAAACAAAAACAAAGGAGACAAGGAGGCCTTCACAAGCATCAACAAAACATGACACTCCACTCCAAAGCATCCCTCTTCTACCTCCATGACAGCAAACCTCCTATTTTTAAATAAGGACAGGTAGCAATGGTTGCACTGAAATTACTGGATGTGGCAAGGTGAGGTTAAAGCATAGGCATATGAAGTAAGAACTAAGACAGATATTAGAATCTTCACTGAGTTTTTATTTTTGTATACACAAGTTGAATATTTTGCCTACTATTTGTGCTTTACTTACTCATTTCTTTAAATGTTATGATCTTCAGGACAAACTTCCCTTATTTGTTTGGAGTGCCTGATAGACCGTGCTTGGAAAGTTTAAAGTACAATGACAAATCTAGTAAGCAACTGCTTTATGGAAGGACCATACCTTTTCAATTTGATCTGGTTGTAGCAATTCACTAGGATCACTAAGATTTGGCCGAAAAGCTTCAGGCTCCAGGTCTGGTTTGATATTTGTGACCTGCTTTGAATTTATGTCTTCCCTTGTTGTTATCTGCAAAAAAAAAGGAGGAGGGGAGAGGGGGGTGGTGGAAAGTCAGCATTCAGGAAGCTACATTAAGCCTCCACAAACGTTTCTTTCTTTTCTTTTTAAAACAGTTTTACTCTGCATACTCAACATTGTGAATGCAAAGACAATTATTCATAAAAGCTAGAATGTTGTTAGAAGTTTGTTATATTTGACAGAGAAATTACTCCCTCTTACAGTAAATATATTGGTATGAAACAATATACTGAAAAATAGATTTGTACACACACTGTGATGTTCAGAAGGTTATGCCTTATATTTGTTCCTACAAAAAATAAATTTGCTAGAAAAAACAAAAATTCTTTGAGCTCAGAGTTGAATTAGGGCTTTTAAAATTTGCTTCAATTGATACAACAACACAAAATTTATTGTCTTTCTAATGGTAATTTAATGGGATGTTTGAAGTCCACCATGCTTTCAAATGCAGAAATGGCAATAACACCACTGACCCCTTTTGTAGAGCACTGATATAAAGTGCCATATAAAAGTGAGATATTATTATCCCAAAGACCAGAGGTGAAACTTGGGCCCTCGGACAGTTAATGGAAAACATGATGACTATTGGGTATTGGATTAGCCTTTAAGCATTAAGAAAATAAAGTTGAAACCATTAAAGCCAACATCTGTCAACCCTTGGAGTTACTGTGGTTACCACACATCTCTCTTCTTTAAATACATGAGTCCAACATGGACTCTTTATGGTAATGCAGCTATTGGTCAATTTACTGAGGCAGGTTTTGTTATATTCTCTTGGTTTTTAAGCTGTTGACACAGTAGTCACAGGAAGACAGAGCTTTGGAATATTATAGAAGGATAGATGTATGGGATCATAGGAAAGTAGGGTTGGAAGGGATCTCACATGGTTATCTAGTCCAGCCTCCTGCTCAAGGCAGGAGCATCCCTGACTAAATCATCCCAGCCAAGTGCCTGTTCAATCTGCTCTAGAAAATTTCCAGGGATGGAGATTCTACAACTTCTCTAGGTAGCCTGTTCCAAAGCCTGGCCACCTTTATAGTTAGATAGTTCCTCCTAATCTCCATCCTAAATTTCCTCTGCTGTAGCTTGAGGCCACTGCTCCTAGTCTTGTCTCCTACAGAAACAGAGAAAAGCCCATCTTCATCTTCTCTATTATCCTTCAAGTATTTGAAAACTGCTATCTATCATTGTAGACTTGCTCAATAAACCTGATTCTATATGTCCTGAAGCTGAGGATTTAGACCTCTGCTTTTTGGAAATCAAAGGATGATTGTACACAAGCTGCAGCATTTTAGGCACCACTCTGTGGTAGCTTTTGTCATTATATTAAGTTTAAGTAAAATAAAAACTTAGGGTACAAAAGGAAGATTTCCATTTTTTCCAAAGCCTATGAAATATTCTTCAGCCAGTTCAAACCAAAATTAAAAACCAAAAGCAAGATGTTTTAAACAAGTTGTGATGGCCTATTAAAAACAGAAGAAAAGCTAATTTGTTCTCTTTCACAAGCTATTTAGGCAGATAGTGTTGAAAGACAGCAAAACACTGCTTTGTTTTATACATTCATTGTGATAATCTTTAATAGTCCTGAATTTAAGAAAATTTGCACTAGTCATTTGGAAGAATAAAATATCCAAGCAAAGCTCAAGTTTTCTATTACTTGTGTTGGGTGGCAAATATTTTTCTGAGATAAAAGCATATTTAAACATTCAACATCACAGATGAAGTACTGCTTAAAGTATGTGCTATTTGACACATTTGCTCCACTCTTAAAATGTCATTGTCAGGTGTACAATACTTCAAAGCAAAAATTCAACAAGAATTAACTGCTGTTTAGTAACACAGTAAAAGTATTTATGCCCTATTTATTAAGGGTCAAGTATCTAATAAAGGCTAGCTTACACGCACCTGCCCCAAAGTGGAATCCAAGACCCTGAGGGAAGTGCCTAGGTTCCCTATATGGTGGTGGTGGAAGAGAGGTGCCAAATGACAATTCAAAAGAACTAGCAAATAGGAAATGCTAAGCAGAGAGACATCTGTACTCTCACTCCTCTCCATATCTTAGGATCACAAGGGTATGGACACAGGAATGATTACTGTAGGGTGAGAGGGGGTATGCCTGTGTTTACTTCACAGTAAATGCTTACCAGCACTTTCAGCCAAACAGTTTTTCCTTTTTACCTTTCAGTCAAAGTTGCCGCTTTCACTTGCATCAGAGCAAAAGTGTGCACAAGGACAGTTACCACACAGTAGTGGGCATATGGTAACACCCTGCAGCAAACTGTCTGTGTGGCTATACCTCAGGTCAGGGCTGCAGTCAGCTCTGCTTCTGTCTACTTGCAGTCCTGAGTCTGGAATGCTGAATGACAGCCCTTAAATGCCTTCTTTCAAAGGCCTGAGGAAGGATTTCTGGTTTTTAAACCATGTTTATAGCTGGAGGAAGATGCTGGGGTCTCAGATGTTCAATGTTCTCCTCTACTATATCACCCACTTCTCAAAAAAAGGGCCATAACTACTAGCCTACAGAGCCAGTTGATGAGTGTACCCACCACCCATCCCACTGATGTTGGCCATGGTACAAAGAATGCAAGATTCCTGGGACCAGAATGAAAGCAAGTTGAAAGCCTACCTATAGTTGTAAATGTTTCATTTGACATGGGCCTAAGTGTTCCAGGGCTTAAATGTGGATCCAAACAGGTGCACATATACACATCAGGGCTGTGCGAAGCTTTGGTTGCCGATTTTATTTGGAGGAGATTCAGGCCAATATGGCGGCCAAGTCTCTGAATCAGAATTGAATTGGGAGACCAATAAAAAAGGTCCAAATCGATTTGGAAAAAGCTTTGGAGGAGATTTGGTGATTTGAGCAGTCCCTGCTCACCACCGCAGGGAGCTGGACCCAGACTCTGTGCTGGTACGTAAGGGACAGGGGGCTGGAAAAGGGACCATGGAGGGACCCCCCTCCAGCTCTATCTCCTGCCTGCTGCCCGAGCCCCTCTGAGTGCCCCCGACCCCCACCTGCTCTCCCAGCCCCATGAATAGCTGTCCCACCTGACCCCAGCATCCTGCTGCTTTAAAAAAAAAAAAGCCCCACACTCACTGGCTGCTGCAGCAGCTGTCAGGGCCTCTGGGGGCTTGTGGCGGAGCCTCCCCATGCAGCATGGGGCAGCGGGGAATCGTCCCCCTGCCTGGCAGCAGCCAGTGAATGTGGGGCTATTTTTTTTATTTTTTAAAGTGCTGGGATGCTGGGGCCAGATGGGGCAGCGGATGGGGTCTGTTCCATTTGGAGATTCAGCTGAATCGATTTAGGACAGTGATTCGAATCACTGAATCAAATCACTGTCTCCTGAATCGGCCAAATCCCAATCCAAAGCAAATACTAGCCGCTTCACACAGGCCTAATACACATGACCCTTCAAGCTGCACTGCTGCTTTTCGATGGCCAGCAACAGCACACACTCTGACTGGTCCCGTGACTGAACCACAATAACTTTCATACCTACATAGCCATATTGGGGGGGGGGGGGAGGGGGTTAAGCACCTTTTATTCCACGTAATTCAGACAGACTTGAAGCAGGAAAGTGGATTTTTACATCTGGAAGATCCCAGGGCTGGGTCTATGCAGATGCAGGAATTTAGGCACCTAAGGAACTTTAAAGTCAAACAGGGAGAAACTACCACGCTTAAATGCCTGCAGGATCAGGCACTAACTAAATTATTTTTTGTACTGTAACTTTGGACACAAGCACTGAAGGGACTTGTGTACTGCCCCAGGACTGTGCATTATTTCCTGAACTGAAAGCAGTAAAAACTGCACTGAGACAATTACATTACTTCCATTTCTGGAGGCAGTGTGCACAGCGTGGGTCTGATGTGTTTTGTGTTAAGTATAGTTCTTTAGCCAAAGCTCTTTGGGTCTAAGTTCCCAGAGCTGCAGTAGGACCCAGAGAGCATCAAACATCAGAATTTTGAATCCTAGGAAAATATTTACTTCTAAATTTTCAAAATGAGTTTTTGCCATGAAGGGAGGAAAATATATGTAATTAATCTTTTTCATATCTTTCCAAAAGGGTTCTCAGACATGCTTTCATTAGGAAGCTTTGTACAATGTACACAAATTCTGCAGTGTACATATGCCAAAGAATATAGGGAAATACCTAAAGAGAATGCAAAAGTCAATTAAAAACCCCCCCACACTATCCAATTAGTTTACAGATTCTGATGTCAAGTGTTGCTTTATAGTCTGGAAGCTCTATTCCCAGTTCTCTTGTTGTGATCTCAGGCCAGTTTACCCACCTGCACAATGGACACAATACTTACCTCTCTATATGGTCATTGTGAAGCTTAATATTTTCAAAACAGTTCCAATTTTCTTCCATATTGACTGTTGAGTATTTGAAACTTAATCCTCATGACATTGTTTTGTAAACAACCTCTTTTGCATTCTTTTTAGGAAAGCTTCTATCTAGCTCAAACCACCACTCCAAACTAGAATTTAACACAGGTCCTCATCACTTCGGAAACCATGTAGTAATGAGAACAGTTTCAAAGATGCAGAAAATTCCTCCACTTTTAAACTCTGAGATAACTGTTTCATCACAAACCTACAACAACCCAACACACCCAATCATGGTTTAAGGCACAGTTATGAGAAAGGAATTTTCTGCTGGATTCTTGTAGTGCTAGAGCCAAGACAAACCCACCGAATATGGGACTTGCCCTGATCAAAGCCACTACAGAGAAAGATATTTTAGTCTCCGGAGAAGGGGTTTAACTACTGAAGAGGGCACCTTGAGACGTCTGCAGAGTGTGCGCAGTTCTTCACTATTTAGAGCATCGATCCTGCGGTGATACTCAGCCACTGACACTACCTGAATATGGAGACAGGAAGACAATAATTCCACTGACAGTTGAAGAAAAAAAAAGTAAGAAACTAGAGAAAAGCAATGGGGAGGAAGGATGTGCAATGACAACAACAACAACTTAAAGTGCTAAGAAACATTTGGAATACTCCAAGCACGTGTAAGAAGTTTCAGACTTATGATGTGTATATACAGTGAGTCAAGACCACCAACAAAATGATGTTAGATATCTGACATATCCCATGTTTATATAGTATTATAAAATGCATCTGACATACAGTCCATAAAATTTACTGATATGCAGCTAGATAAATTTAGGTAAGGGCTATCTACACTGCAGCCATACCCTAGTCTTAACTCATGCCCTCATATCATCCTCCACAATACCTTTCTGCTAGGGTTTCTATGTACTTTGAACCTGAACTCGCTTGCCTGGCTGAAGGTTATAGTTTAGAGCCCATAGTTAAAACTCTCTAATTAAGGCAGGCTCAGACTCATCCATTTGACAGTAAGGATTCAGATAAAGAAGCTCAGGTTTTGATAGTCCTCCAAGGCTAAACTACAATTTCAGCCCTTCTATCAATTGGTCTATTCGTCTCTTGTGCACTGGGAAATTCCTGCTATTTTATACACATCTGATTGATGTTTAACTCTATTTTATATGGCATGTTCCATTTCTGCAGTATTCCGCTCACAGCCAGACTAGAAGATGCCAATGCAGTACGCTGCTAGCTGGATAGACAATCACACCAGTTTTCTGGTTAATTTCTGGTGTGACTACAGAAAAGCTTGTTATTTGGGGGGCATGCCTAAAATCATCATTGTTATGAAAGCACCTTGAAGAGGCTGGGGGTGGTGGAGATCAAATGGATGGCTGTCCAGTACAGCAAGTGCATTAAAAACCTCAAAGGCACTTGAAACACATAAGGGATAACTGCAAGCCTGGCAGCTCCCTGTCCACCCCTGCCTTTATTATAAGGAGTTTGGGACAGTGACAAGCATCTGGTCAAGTACAGAGCCCACAGACAGGCTCCTGAGCTGCAAAGGTTCACTCTATACCCGTGAAACTACAAGACAAGGAGAAAGGTACACTTGTGCTATCCAGTTCCATTACCAAGCAGACTATGCTATTTGCACAATTTCATACATATTTTTGTTAATGTATATATGAAAGTTTGTAAAGTCTGTAAATTGTATGGAAAGTTATTAATAAAATTTTACACGCTCTGTTACTCCTACACAAAATGACAAATAAATGGATATGTATACTTAAATAGCATAGCATCACACATCACATTTTCTTGAGTCATGTATCATCCTATGTTGCATAGATGGGGGTGCAAAAGCCACCCTTTATTTCCTTGCTTGTCTGGACCCAGACTCTATAGTGAAAGGGGCACTTTCTATTTGCTTGTACTAGGCTTGCAAACCAGTCAACCAAATACACACTCTATCATTGCTCTAAAACTGTTAGTTAAATCTTTGCCTGATGACTTGAAGTCAGGATTTAGTTTCATGAGCCACGGAGTATAAACATCCCTCCAAAACAGTGGGCACAGGATACCCTGTGGGTAACCATGTTATTTGAAGAGGAAAATGTCCTTCTGTCCCTCTTATCCAAACAGGTTAATTACAAGATCCCCTCAGCACTCTGGTGCCATGCAGCTTCTCAGTACCACATTGGTGTTGCATAACCTAAAGGCAGCAGGTTCAGGAAGGTCTACATACCAAAGAGATACCCTTTCCAGTTCGCAGTCACACATTCCCTCAGGGTAAACAAACTATGGATAAATGAATAGCTCCATCACAGACAGGTAAGGAAATCCATTCTCTCAAAGTTAGTTTTTATTTCAGGCACACTAGCTGCATCTACCCACCATAAACAAACTGTAGTAGTAAATTGCCATAGAGATACAGAAACACAGGACTATGAAGGCACTTCCTGGGTCACACCACTGTTGCTATAATCTGTTATTAGAAGCAAATACCTCAACCTGAACTCTTTTCACAAACTAAGTAAACTCCATCATGAAAGCAGTTTGGTTTTTTGACTCAAGTCATACTGGAAGGCTGTTTCAGAATTTAATTTCTCTAATAATTAGAAACGTTTTTCTTACCTCCAGACAAAGTTTATTCAGCAGCTGCAAATACCAGTTTTTCCTGCCAACCCTGTCCTTAAGTACAATACCTTGCACCTACATTATTGCTGCTTAACTTTTGGCTGTATTTTTAGGGAACAATTAGATCCCCATTGAGCCTTTAATTTGCTGTGATATAACAAGTTAAACTATTTTAGGCTCCCTATTCCCCTCACCCTTTTCTGCATTGAAAGTCATGGCAGCACTTATTATTCCCTTTATTGCAAGACAGGGGCTGTGGCCCATATTGCTCTACTGAATTTTAGCCCAAGGCCCTGACCAGCTGTGAGGACAGGCAGGAAGCCTTTATTCAACCTTCAGTGCACTCCTCTGCCCCACAGCCAATTTCCTATCTCTTTTCTTCAGAATCAGGCACTTACCCTTCTCAGGGTCCTGTCCTTCTCCATCTGGGGCAGAAGCAATTCCTGTTCTTTCTAGGCTTGCAGTGAAGCTTCTGACAGGGAAAAGGTCCCTCCCTCCTATCCAGATAGTGCCTAGAAGCTCCTGCTGCTTTGGCTTCCCAGCTCAAAGTGACTTCTCCTGCCAGGTTCACAGTCTTAATGGACCTAGGGGAGGCGGAGCTAGAAGAGAGGAGCTGTCTGGATCTTAAATTGACCTCTACCTGAGCTTCCCTTGGGGTTCTAACTCCTCCATGGTTGTGTGGAGATAAATCACATAACGTGCACCTGCCCTATGTTCAGCTCATATTTTGAACAGAGGTGACTGAGTTATATATAGTATTCCACAGTATATGCAGATGTGGTCTCACCACGGCATTAATAGCATTAAAATTTCCTTTTCTCCACTGGGGATCCCTTGAAAGATGCATGCTAGGATGTCCTTTTATCACAGCCTCATCACATAGATGACTCAGTCATCCTGTGATTAGACTCCCAGGTTTTCTCCTCCTCTGTCATTTTCAACTAATGAGCTCCCAGCTTATAGCAAAAGTTCTTGTTACTAGTTTTAAGTTCTTGCATCTTGTAGTAACCTTTTTGTATTACTCTAGTCTTCAAAGGCCCTAACTCCTCCTGAACAATGTTTGGATCTTCTTCTGCACTGACAATGCCTCCAAAAGTTTTCTCGCCGAATTTTATTAGCACACCAACTTCTTATGTTAAGGTCGTTAGTGGTATCGCTAAATAATAACCTTTGGAGAGCTCCACTAGGTAACAGCCTTCCAGCCCAATACTACCTTCTGATAATTCCCCTTCAGCCAGTTACTTACCAGTCTCACAATTCTGAGTACTAATTTCCGTCTTCTCCTGCTTACATAATAATTTCCTAGGTGGCACTTTGCCCAATGCTTTAATGAAATCCAATGCAATATCTTTGTTCAGAAAATAAGTTGTCAAAGAAAGACACCAGGTAAGTCTGGCAAAGTCTACCTTTGGTAAAACTTTGTGGCATATTATCCCATTTTCTATTTGCTTACATGTCTTTAGATTAGTCTTTCATTTAAGGTAAGTTAAACTGCATAAGCTGAAATCATACTAATGGGTCTGTAACTGCTTGAATCGCTTTCTTCCCTGTTTCTCAAATTTAGGTATGGTGTCATTCTTCACTCATTTAAAATTTTGCTACCAAACTACTAATTCCGTATATTAATTCTTTCAGACTTATGGGATGGAGAATGTGTGCCCCTTCCCCTAACTTAAATTCATTTTGCTCTTAATGTTTGGCTTCCACCTCTGTTGTGCAGACTTTCATTTGCATACTGTCTTGCCTTCCCCTTCCCCCAAGCTTAATGCCACACGCCTTACAGATAACTGTAGAGACTATTCATTTATCATTTTTGCGGCCATACCTAGCTTACTTTTCATCTTGAGTGAATCCTCACTGAATAACAGATCCATTTCTTCCCTTTTTTGGTATTTGTTTTTTTATATGATTGAAGAATCTCTTGCTCTTGTTTTTATCTTTTGAAAGGTTTAAAACCCCACGTTTTTGGCAATTTTCATTTTATGATTACATTTTCTGGCCTCTATAAGCTGTGGATTTCTTTATTGATCAGTTCCTCTTTCCAGTTCTTGTCTGCTTATTCTTAATAGTCTTTCTGAGGTGGTTATTTATCTGGTTAGGCCTGGAATCCTTTCCCACAAATATCTGTACTTTGTTTGGTATTAAAATGTTTCAGATACAGTTGGTACCTGTTGATTTAAAGACTCTAAACCAAACCACACCATCACAGCCTTCCCAGCTAACATGGGAACCGCTGGCTAGCTGGAACTCACATAGATGGCCACAGCAACCCACTTCTGGATTGATGTGACAGCACACCATGTATTTGAGTGTGCTGGAGCAAATTCTGTATATAGCTCCACTGAGCTCTACTTTTTCAAACTGAGACTACTGAGCCACTGCTTGTCTTCACAAACCAGAAATAGTCTGTAATAGTTACCCTGCATCAGAAGTACCTTGGTCTGCATATGGGGAAATCTGCAGCGGTTACAACATGCAACAGCTGTCTTCCCAGTTTGTTATGTAAGTAGCTGCTATCCTGAATCTCTTCTTCTGAGATATACCACTGACTTTTGGTTCAGAAATTGCTGCTGAAATGACCATCATCTTCTCTCATGCCCTCTATCTGCCTCCTGCTACAGCAACACACGAATAGACTCCTGCTCCAGAATCATGGACAGCTAATCTTCCGGTAGTGAATCTGGCACTGGCTATGGCACGCATGTGAGAAATGTGTAGAGATGGAAGTTAAGTATGTTGAAAGCTAAGGCTGTTTCTGCATGGGAGTCCAGGAAACAGAGAACTCCCACAACAGAATTTGTAGCATATCTGAGGTGCTACGAGCTCTGGGAAAATGCGCTCAAAAACCTTAGTGCTGAACCAGGTAACCTCCATGCTACCATGGAGAAG